ACCAGACATTTCTGCCAGATTCTAGTGCTCCTACCCATTTGATACAAGAGACAGTAAAGCCACCCTCAACTCAGACCAGTGTAATTTTGAGTTCAGAACTCTTTCTTCTCTCTAAATGTGGCATAAACATGCCATCATCTCCAACCTGCTGAACACAGAGTGATTTCACATGAAGCAAATGAAAATCATAATGAGAATCTGTAATTACAACCCCCAACCCTCAAGCAGGAATCAGTTAAAAAAAAAAAAAAGAAATGTCAAAAACTGAAAAACAAAGTTGTCCCCACATATTACAGGAAAGTAGGAACCTTCTGATTTATCTCTTTGCCCTTCCAGACTCTTCTTGCCAGGAAGGTCAACAGGTTATATACCTTCTGCTGGATTAATCTACAGGAGAACAAGGGCAGCTAGCCAAGCAAAACTAGATTCTTAAAGGGACACAGCCAACCACAGACTCTGCTCCAGTTTTTAAAGCATGTTCTTACAACTAAAACCTCTGACCAAAAGCAGTGGAAAAAGATGCTGCTACTCTATTTTTCAGTTTGCATACTGGATGGATGATGCAGAGATTTACATGTTCTACCTGCAGTTAATTTCTTCTGATCAGACAGATCCTTCACAAACAAGTGGAGCCAGAGAAATAAATATAATTTTATTATTTTATTTTCATAAAGATAATTCAAAGAACAGTGTGCTTGGATATAACCTTCTTACACAAACCTCTCTTTTACATCTTTTTTTCCCCCTAAGCTGACAAGATTTTCAAACCAAAAAACCTGCCTAAGTCCTGCTAGTCTGGTACAAATGAGCTTTATTTCAATGAGCTTACAGAGATGTATGATCAGAAATGAACTTAGGACACATTAATAAATCCTCCCTTTCCATTTCAGTATACACCTGCTCCACATTCTCTTGACATTTCCTCCTTAGTTCAAGCAGTGCAGGTTACAAGAGATTACACTTTGCCTGGACATCTGTCATTACCATACTGTTGGAAGGGAGGCACTTTTGAGTGCTATGCTGATTTGTTTTCTCTTTGGCAATAGCGAAGCAGATGTTCCAAAGGCTTGCACCCAGGCTCTGAAAGCCGCTGGCACTCATGCCTCAGAAATACAGGAGGGTAAAACACCTACCCTTTGGCAATCACATTCTAACAAAGGTAAGAACAAGGTAGTTATAAACCTACAAGAGAACAGAAAAACAGAGCCAGTGACTCAGCCAGTAGCACCAGGAACTGGAAAACCTGCCCCTCCCTAGCAGGAAAACGTCTAATTCATATGGTGTTAAAAACAAAGGGGAGTGACTGCATCATCTCCAGAAAAAGGAGGACCCAAGGGGCAGGAACAATAAAACCAAAAACGTACCAAACCCTCCCCCCATTCCCAAAAAAACCCAAGTACGCGAAACACCACTGCCTACCCCTAAAAAAACTCTTTCTAATAATCTAGTCTTAGATCTTGTAATGAGCCCCATGCATGCCAACTCATGGCTTTTTTACAAGGCTCTGCAAAGGAACATGACGCGCATTTATTTAGCATGGTTGTTGGCAGAAGTTGCAAATATATGAACATCCATTACTGTAAATCCTAATAAATCAGATTGCTCCTCAAAGTTAAATAGAAATGCTGTGAAGGTAAAGAATGAAAAGAACACAGTGACCAAGGAAATAAGTTTAGATGTAAAATAACATTTGCTACTCTCTACGGAAATCACAGCTAAAAATTACTTCAGATTGGCTTTGGAGAGTACTGATCATATTATTTAAAAATTGACTAATGTCTTCAAAACTATGCATAATATTATATGTGATATATGAGGCACAAACAGAACCAACAGATAGAGAGGGCATCCACTGGGTTGCTGCAGGGGTCTTTGCTAGTCCAGTTGTCTTTGACATCCTAAAAATGGAAGACTGACTCAAAGTAATGTTAATGAAACTTATCGGTGAAGTTTACAAGCACCAGTGGGTAGGAACAATTCAAAGGGTATCAGTGCAAAAAAGAAAACAAAAGAAGCAAGGGAGACAAATAGGACTATGTGGGAAAAGTAATGCAAAGAAAACCCGGAGATAAAATCAATGAAAAAGCCCTGCCAGAAGTAGGCAAGAGTGAGAATGCTAAACAAATGAGAGAGTTGTCTACAAAGCAAATGCTTCTGCAAAATGACCAATATAACTTTAATCTGCCCGGGCTCAGATATTACTTCAGGCAAGGAAGAGATATTAATCACTCCAACTCGTGGAATATTGCATCTCATTCTGACAAAAAAACACAGATAAACTGCAGGAAGTGAAGAGTATAAAAAACCTCCAATAATTAGACCTAGACAATTGAAAAATATTATTATACCCTCATTAGTAGCTTCTAATAACTTAGAAGATGCAAATGCAGAGAGAAACAATAACCAATCATTTTAGAGAAATACACACCAAGGCAAAAACTGGTGCAGTAAAAAACATCAGAAAACTTTTCTGATGTACATTGGGTGATGAAAAACTTGCCCCAGAAAACTTTTACATGCCATGGGGGAGTGGGAGGGAAGAACCACACCAAACCCCAAACATAACAAATGAACAAAAGACAAACATGAGCTATTGGGAAAGTATAATAGATTATTTTTTAAATGGTGATACTAAATTTTACATTTTTAAGATAGTCATGGTCAAATAAAACAGAAAATTGTTTTGCTATATCAGGAGCTACTGTAAACATGGTCCAAGGAACTACTCAAGGTGGGGAAAAATGGTAATGTTAAGAAAATGTCCCCATTCTTCTCCCACCCTTCACCTCGAGTCACTGCACCCCCTGCTCCAGACACACCAGCACATGACCATATGATCAACTTAACTGGAGAATGAACAGATGTGGCTGAAAACCAACTTGCTAAAAGTGATAAAGCTTGCTAAGAGTGTAACTTTTCCTCTGGATCAGTCCTGGGGCAGTGAACAGCAGCACCAGTGTCCCTACCAGTGACAAAGCATAGAGATGTGACAAGTATGGAAATGGGCACTTTGAGGCTCTGGGGACACATCCACAGCAGTGCCAGCTGAACCCTTTGTGGACCCACCTCTTGGCTTACACTGGGATGGAACCAAGAGCTGAAAGATACAGAAAAGGACATGTAATACTAAGGAAGGAAAGCTGTGAATGAGCATGCAAACAGAGATGAAAGCTGTAACACTTGGAAGCAGTACTTTTCAGTAACTCTCTCAAAACTCTACTTACTCTGCTTGAATTATGTGAAACTAGTACCTGAGTAAAAAAAAACAACAGCAACTGTGATTTTATGTAAGCCACAGACAAGATACAGTGCCATGGAGCCCTTTTAAAAGCTTGGCAGAACTATTTTCATACCATTTTCCCACAGATATTCTTCAATATAGCAACGCTGAAATGCTTATTACAATAGCAGCCTAAAATACTTCAAAACCATCGGTAGCAGTAATTTAAAAATCCAAAATAGAGTCAGAATCCAAGACAGTGGAGAAATTCCTGGTAACCATTCTCACACACATTTAGTTGCTTCCAGGATCACCTCCAAGAGGACACAAACAATGAGCTGATAGCCCAGTTTAGAGATTGATAAGACTGTTGCATGCTTAAGTTTGAGGGAGCCATTCCCACTGGGATTTAGGAAAACCTGAAAAGATGACTGCACCCACTGCAAAAAGCCCTGAAAAGGTGACTGGCTGCCCTTCAATCTGCCAGCCCGAATTCCAGAGAAAACCAGAATCCCTCAGAGACCAGCAGCCCTAATAAAGAAATCCCTCTGTATTGACTACAGCACGATCCCAGGCTCTTTCTTCTCTGTCACGAGAACAAGCTATCGAAACCAAAAGGTTTTAACTGGTGGGTGTACAGCAGCATCAGCCCAGCCCTTGCTGCATACGCACTCTGCTTTCCCCCTTGCTCTGCTCCTCTCGCTCCTCCCCGTCACTCTCTGCCCTGTCCTGCTGCCCACTTCCTTCTGCGGGAGAACAATAAAACCTCTCACATACACCCAGACAGATGGACAGACAGGTGAACCAATGCTCTGCTCCGCACACAGACCCTGCCTTCAGGTCCTGGCAAAGCCGACCTGTCCCCAGTAACAGGAAAAGAGAAAAATAAACCAAATCCCTAAATCTCCCTTCCTGCTGTTCAACGCTTGAAAATTACTTGGCATTGGTAATTCGTAAAGGAATCGCATAACCTAACTCTTAAGTTTAGAAAGCACCATGAGTGTAACTCCAGGTTAAACAAAAACAAAGTTGGTAATTAGTTGTGGTTAGTTCTGAGTTTTTGTTAGGGTTTTTATTTAACATATGTGATCGTTCACTGTAAAATACGAAAGTCTTTAGAACATGTAGAGTTACACTTCTTCCCCCTTCTGAAAAAAAAGCCTCATCTTTAGCATGCCATGCAAGAAATGGTTTAAACAGAATTATCTGCATAAGATAAAAGATTACTCCAGAAAACTTTTTGTTTGGCTTTTTTGTGTGTGCTCGGTTTGTTTGGGGTTTCTTTAATCCTTCCCTGTGGCATGCCACCAAAACTCAACTCTAACTTCAGAATAAGTGAACCGGGAAAACATCCCCTCATCTTTCGGTAAATGCCCTACAACAACCCATGTACTTTCTCACAAATAGGCTTCCTTATAATTTTTTGTCTGTTTTCCCCCCAAAAATCATCTTCCATAATTTTAATTATAATTTACTACATTAAGTACTGCTCCTCCTTTCACCCTCTTCAAGCGCTTTTCTACGAACCATACAGAAACCGCTTTTTTTTTTTCCCTCCCCATTAGCGCTGCAGTTTTCAGCGACAGAGTTCCCGAAGGGGCAACGCCGGCAGCCCCTTCCCGGCGGGGGAAGCCGCCGGAGGCTCCACTGAGGATGTTCCCATCGCTTCCTTTGTACGCCTGTGCCTCGCCTGTCTCACACGGGCGGCTCCGCACCCTCCCTTCCAGCCCGTCTCCCGCAGCACCCGCGCCAAAGCCATCGCGGAGCAGCGTGTCCCGACCTGAGCGAGGCAAGAGCGGCTGCTGTTCCGCAGGGGCAGCGGGCTTCAAATCCTCCTTCAGCTCCAGGACTTTCTGCCAAGAGAGCACCGAGCGCTGTTACTGCGCGCCTGCCCCTCGCTCCCGCCCGATCCCCACCTCCGAGCCCGCAGGGGTGGCAGCGGGGGCTGGCACGGGGCAGCGGGCGGCTCAGCCTCCCGCTCGGCATCGTCGCCGCCGCCAAGTCGCAGAGAAAAAAAGTTGGCGAGGAGCGGCTCCGGGTGGGCCCGGGGCTCCCCCTTGCCGGTCCCGCGGCGGTGGAGAGAGGCGAACAATGCCGGGCCGGGCGGGTGGCCGGGAGGGGATGGGATGGAATGGGAGCGGGGGGGGGCAGCCGGGCCAGCGGGAGCGGAGGCACAAAGCGCACACTCACCTGAGGAGCGCGGCGCGGCACGACCGGCGGGACGGCGAGCCCGGACGGCGGCGGGGCGGGGTGGGGGGGCGGCCGGGCAGGAGTTTGGGAGGAAAAGGGAGGGTTTTTATTTCCCCTGGAGTTTGAAAGGAGGAAGTGAGGAATGCGAGGAATGAGAGTTGGTATGAAATGAAGGCGGCCGAGGGAGGGAGGGACTGCCGGCTAAGGCAGGGGCTGGGACGGGGCTGGGAGGGGACTGGCGAGGGGCGGGGGGCAGCGGGAGAAGGGCCGAGGCGGAGTTGGGAACAAAACCCAGTGGGGTCGGACGCTCCTCGGCCGGGGGCCGAGTGTGACCGGGGCGGAGGGAACGCGGGCAATGGCCGGAAGAGGGACCCGCGGGGGCGGGGGAAGGAAACTCCGGGCGGGCGGCCGGGAGCGGGGGAAGGGGGCGGCTTGGCAGCGCCGGGAGCGGGCGGGACGCCGCCGCCTCCAGGAATCGAGAGCAGGCACGGCTCCCGGCGCGGGAGAACTCGGAGTGCGCGGCCCGGCCTCGGATCCCCGGGAACGCCGCCCCTTGCCTGGTGCTTTCCCTGAGGCGACGGGCCAAGCGTCCGTGAGGGGACACCCCCGCGCCGCCCGGGCAGGGACGCGGCTCCCGGGCTCCCCCCTGCGCGCCAGGCGCGGCCCGGCGGCTGCGGAGCCCCTCAGAGCCCGGCCGTGATTGATTCCCAGGCAGAGCCCGGCCGTGATTCCCAGGTAGCACCGCGGAGCCGCTGCGAAACAAGCAGCCCCAGCCCGACGAGGCAGCCCAGCCAAGTACTCGCCCAGCCACCCGCAAAGCGGTGTCTCCCCGTGGCTTTTCTCAGTCTCACGTCGGAGCTGCTCCTTTCCTACCTGTTCATACAGGAATGCCGGCGTGCTGTGCTAGAAAATGCTGATATGGGCCTGAGAATCGCACGAGGGTTAAAAAGCCACATCCCCCAAACAAAAGCAGTGGGAAACCAGTAAGTTTAGTAAATGTAGCTACGTCCTAGCAGCAGCTCGGGGAATGCAGCTGCAGCAGCAAACCAAACTTCCACGGCTCCGGCAGGTGATTTTGTCACAGGTGGCTGGAACTACCTGTGAAGAGTTATATAACATGGTTGGCTTTCTTTATAACTTCAGTACATCTAAGAAACTGAGGGTTTTTTCGTAAGAACCTAAAGCTAAAAAAGTTTCTAACTCTTTCAAATTCCAGTTAAAATTGCAGAGACCTGGAAACATCCTAAATGTGTCCTAAGGCCTCAGAAACCAGATGGCAAGACCCATCAATTTCATAAAACTAAGGTTTTCTGATACAACTGTAGAAATTAAGAGTATATACAATATAAATAAGATGATGTCACAACATTCAGTGAAACGATTTTGGTTGGGTGTGTGTGTTTTGTTGGTTTTTTTATATCAAGCCCTGTAATTAATTAATTTACTGTTTCTATTAAGATATAATTAAAAAGCTATATTATATTTTCTATTAAGCTGTATTTTAAAAGAACCCTATGTATATGAGAGGTAATTCACTTCTCATCACATATATTCAGTGGGAATTCTGGGCCAGGTCTCATAATTATGTGACTAACATTGTTTTGCTCCCATTTCCTTGCCAAACCAACAGAGCTCAAAGAGAAGGAATTTAAACCTATTCCTTCCTGTGAATCATCACCCAAATTGTTTGCAGGACTTCAGTCAGTTGCAGATGGAAATTCACTCAGGAGAATACAGGTTTTTTAGTGGTGGGTTGTTTGAGGTTTTTTTTATTGGAGGTAATGCAGAACTGAACAATTCTGCTTAGAACAGAAAGCTGGGAGAGTTGGGCAAACTTATCAGATTAATTCCCCAACCCTATTTATACTCTATCAGCATTATTTTTCTTATGCTGTTTTTAAAATAAAGCCCTTTTTCTCCCCCCATAGTAGATTATTGTTACTTTCCCTATGATAAATAAAGGGCTCAATTCAAATAGGCTTTAAAAAAATCCTTTGTTTTCACCAAAATTTTCAGCTGTTTTATTGCAGACAGTGCAATGAGTTGCCTTGTATGGAGATGTTAATTGAATCAAATTAAATTATCAAAAATTTCAGCCTCTAGAATATATTCACCCATTTATGCATTCTCGAAATTGAATGTTAAATTGCCAGAGCAGGTTATGGTTACCAGAGCCTTTACCTTAAAGCATGTTGGTGAAGTTAGTTTGCTTCTGAATTTTACTCCCATTTTGGAACAGAAGAAGTGACCTCCAGCTTCCAGTGAGGAAATAATAATCAATATAGAACACCTTAAGGGATGCAATGAGAAAACAAACTATGAAGTGTACAGTTCAAAAGATACAAGAGTTAACACTGGTACAAGATCTCTGCCTTCTTTCCTGGCAGGGCTTTCAGTTGTTGCCATGAGTTGTTCCTCACAGTGGGAGCCACCTGTTTTCCCTGTTAGTAAGAGAGCCCTTACACATCAGTGTTGCTCTTCTACTCTTTTTCATAACTGTACATTGGGCCAAATCTCTTGGCCCTAGGATTACTTAAGGAACTTTCTTAGTTCTGAACTAGTTCCAAACTGCAGTGAGGTACAACAGTTTGATCCTGTGGCAAAGGTGAGATTCCTGACTCTGCAAAAGAAGGAATCTGTCCATAGATTTTTTTTACAGGACTACACACAAACTCTTAACTCAACTTGTGAATCACGGGGAAGGGTTTTTCTTGTCTTCTGTACAAGGAACAGGAAACCTAACTCAATGTTACTTGAGAGATTTACAGAGCTGTTAATCCCAGCAAGTAGAGTGGCACACTAATTAATTATTAGTATAGGTATAATAATTATGCTAACAGCAGCAAAACCTCCTGTCCTACTGTTACCAAATTCAGCAGCAAAACTTCAATGAAAGTGAGACTCAGCCCTAAAAGGACAAGAAATCATTCACTGTCTTTTATGTTTGTAAGCTCACAAGCCTATAGCAGCCTAGGAGCCATTTCCATCTGCTAGGCTTGCCTTTAGGACTCCAATTTAACCATTTAATATGCTTCTTTAAGATCTCTCTGGGATTTCTAGAATGTTACATTTGCACATATGCAACCAATATTACTGTGTTAAGAACAAATACCCAGTCATGTTTCCCACTTAATTTTCTCTCTCCTCTAAGACTAATTTGGCTCAGGTGGAAATAATGGAGAAAACAGAGGTGCTTGAAGAACTGGGATTGCATGTTGAGAGCTGTGCCAGTTTCTGATTATCAGATCCATCATATCTCCTGTTATTGAAATTCATACATCTCTCAGTGAAAATATGACCACTTCAACTTGATGTCCTTCCTAGCCTTGTCTGACTTCAGAATCTGATTCAGAAAACATATGTTAATGTGCTTCAACAGTTGAATGTGCTCAGATGGAAGGAGGGAAAAATGCAGTAAGGACCATCTCAAATGCCCTAGCTGGATGCTGGGAACAACATTGAAAACCTAGGGCAACGAGATTGAACTAGCTTAAACAATCAAAATAGAAACCAAGAACTATAGTGTAGGACCTGATAATATTGGGGGAGGGAGGGGGTAAAAGTGTTAGAGAGACTACCTTTACATTTATTCCCAGATTTCCAAGTGTATGGGGAAAATATCCAACACCACAAAGAAAGGGAACTGAGAATTACAAAGGAAAATAGTAAGAAGACAGATGATATTCAAGAAATAGAAAGAAACTGAGGTAATAAGTTACAGAGAAGGAACAAAGTATACGCACAAGTGACAGCAAAATAAAACCAGTCATTTAGAATTAAAGGCTTTTCAATATATAAATTAGTTTATTTTCATTTAGATATAAAAGTTATAAATACAATTAATGTAAAACAGTATCTGATAAAGATGACTGAATCAGTTCATCTGTCTCCATAATTTGACTGAGGGGCTGTGACATGATCATTTGATGTTGAGAAATAGCTTGAAGAGTCACTGCTGACAAGGCTAATTAAGTAAAAGGATGCTTTCTGGGCACACAGAAAATCATCTTGAATCAGAAATTAGCATCCTAACTTCAGGTCACCCCAAAATAACATAAGGCAGTTTCTTTCATACATTCCTAGTCAAAAGAATAATCAGACAGGTACACAAACCGACTTCCTTTCCTGGAAGGGCAGAGGGAATGCAGAACCATCAGCCAAGACTTTAGAAGAGCACAGTTGGAAAGCACTGCCAGGTGTCATCCTCAGCCTGATGAGCAGGAAGGCACAAAACAGATCCATCAGTATTCAAGTTCTCTTCACAGACTGCTTTTCTGATAAGATCATCTCAAGGAAAAATCTCAGCAGCTACTGAAAAATGCTCATCTGAAAGATACAAGAGCTGGACTTCTCAGCCTCAGTTCATTATTTGACAGTTACATACAGCATTTACTTTGTGATTACATTCATTATTCTTTCTGGCAATATCAGAAAACGTCTTCACAAAGTTTTGTTAATTTGAAAGCACAATTGATATTTACTGCTGCAAAGACTCCAGAGACCAAAAGCAATATATCTGCTCTTTGCAGCTTGAAACAGAGTTAAGTCTGCTGACAAGGACAATATCCAAAGCTGGAGAACACCTAATTCTTGTCTCAGTAGACGGACAGACTTCTCCAAACCATTGTGAATATAGGTAATAGGCAAGAAGCAGGCAAAACAGTAATTGTTCTGTGCTTCAGTTCACAGAAGATGTGTGCACTGAGGCCTCCAGGCCACACCGTGCTGCAATCCACTCTGGTGAGTTAAGGCCACATGAATCAAGTGTTCCATGCTGTGACACAGTCTCCATACTGTACATCCAGTATTAAAAAAGGAACATTGGAAGGACACATTGCAAAGCCTTGTGGTACAATTACATTAAACTTACTGATGCCTTTGAAAATACCTGTAATCT